AAATATAAAATTAGTGATAAATTATTTTATTATCATTTAATATTTTGATAACCAATGTATTCGATTCAAGTATATTTTTCGACAGTAAAACCCTAAGCAATTTATTTCTGAATTAAAATTTAAAATTATTGTTTTTACTTAAACAGTTTTTCCTTTAAATTCCATAAGAAAATATTATCTTAAATTTTAAATCTAAAATACTTTTTCAAAATTAAAAACTGCTACTTGTCATTAAATGTCCTTAAAATCTTCACACTTCTTTCCCATTTCCCCTTCGGATCTACTATTAGTTATACAATTAATTCAATTTTCTATTGCCTTTGTACCACTGTGCACTGGGCAACCAATGGACCATGGACTCCTTACGCTTGACGTACGAATGCTGGTGGAGGGCACACTTTGACGACTACTGACATGACGGGTGTGAATGACCAATACTAGTAACCAGTACCAGACGTTGGCTCGCCCAAGACCCCATGCTACACACACACCCCTTGCCACACTGTTGCTGCTCCTGCTGCTGCAGCGTTGGCAACGTGTTTTGCTCTGGTTCTCGTCCTTGTTCTGGTCGTCGTCGCCATCGTTGCGTTATATTTTAATATATTTGATACAGACCATTACTTTTAACGATTATTTTCTAAAGTAATTACGTTTCAAGTATGAGAAATATGAAGAAGCAAAAGTCGGGACAGCGGGCAGCGCCATCATCCACTCTATAGACCCCACCCAACCTCTCACATGGCCTCACAGTCGCCGCATTAAAATGAAAAGAGCTTAGAGTTCAGATCTCTCTATAGCCTCCTGGCTCTGTTCCTGGCTAACGACAGCATTACGAGGCACAAACCCCAAACCCCTTTGACGAACCATGAATTAAATTTGTAGACAAAAAAAAAAAAAAAAAAAAAAAAAAAAAAAAAAAAAAACAACAAACGAACGAGCCAAAAGATAGGTAGAAATTCTCATCAAGTTGCTGGGCTCGTTTTTATTAGCATTCTTAATTAATATTGCTTTCGGTTGTTAGTATTTGATTGTTCAGAAAACCCTCAGCTGAAGGTATGAGTGGGATTAGCTAAACGTCCTGATACCTTAAGACACTCAAACTATTTTGAGGAGGACTTTATTAGCAATTGAGGTGGTGTATGTTTTGAGGTGAGAACAGGTCATAACTGCAGATGGGTTTTGGTAAAAATTTGTTGGGTGTATTCAAAGCTCAAATAGTAAACCTAAATTGTATAAATTGTTTTAAGAATACCCATATATTCCACCACTTTAATTCCTCATATCGATTTATTGAATACATTTTATTCTCTTCCACTGCCCAAAAATCGTTCGCCTCAGTTGACGGGTCATCTCTCAAGTGAGAGCTGACAAAAGACCCAAGCTCTAAACTGAAGCTTGAACATAAAGAAAAAACTAAATAAATATACGAGTATGGGATGGGGAAAAAATTAGAAACAAAAACGTATGTGGGATGGCTTGCATGTCTCCGGAGTTTGATGCAATGGGTAAGGTATAGATAACCAAAGGACTAACAATGAAGGAAGCATCTTAATTATACCGCTGAGAGTAATTTACGTTGCCTTCCTTCTTTATTATATGTACGGCACAAGCGAGGAGATAGTCCAACAACAACAAAATAACCAAACCGAACTCCGAACCCTTTTTACCCACAACTTCGTCCAGTGCCAGTTAGTGGTCCAAAAATTTCATGATGTATTTTTTGTCCCCTCCAGGTCCAGTCCGGGCATGCCAGCCTCACCTCAAATGTCCATGTCGATGTCCATTACCTCTCCTATAGCCGCCTGTGTCTGAGTCTATCCCTCTCTTTCTATCCCCTCTCTCTGTGGTGGGGGGAGGGCGGTGATTTGGGCTTGGGTGTTGTTTATGGTTGTGTGTTGTGGGTGATTTACAGACCCTTTGAGGTCCGTCCAGGGTGACGCTTGACCCATTAGTGGGCGAAAGCCCAAAAGAATCAACCCTTGACTGGAGTGAAGGTTGTCTTTTGTTGTGTATGAATGGATTCGTATGTCGAGCAGAGACTGTAGAGTGTAGAGACCAAATCATGAAATCATTGTTCATGATGATGACCAATACATTATCCATTCAAACGGACCTCAAACGGCTTTTGCTGTTCTACAACTATGCACGAAACTGTCTGTGTGTGTCTTTGTCCTTCTGACTGTGTGTGAGTGAGTGTGAATGATTTCAGCTGGCGTCGGTCCTACTGGGACCCATTCTGCTGCTCGTGTTGCTGTTCTCTGGTGCTGCATACTCGTAAAAATTGTATGAAATGTGGGGTGGAATAATAATTTGAAATAAGTTTTTGGGTTTTATAACTTTGGCCCAAAATGCCAATGGTTTTTGATTAAAACGAAGTCTATACTTGGCTTAAAAATAGTGTACCAATAATTATAAAACTCTCCAAATTATTTAAATATGAAAAAACTTAACTGGACACTCTGAGCTGAAGGAAATATTTTTCGACCCTCTTCCAAGGCACATTTACAATCAAAAATTAATTGTAAATAACACTATATCCCTTGGAATTTACCACCTATTTGAAGTAGTTGAAAACTAATTCTTAATAATACTCGAAGAGTAAATAGGGTACATTTTATTTGTGGGGAATAACGGATGTATATATGTAACGCACAGAAGGAAACGTTTCCGACCCCATAAAGTATATACATATATTCTTGATCACCACCAATAGCCGTGTCTATATATGCATGTAAGTCTGTCCGTTCGTCTTGTTGAGCGCCTGGATCTCAGAGACTATAAAAGCCAGAGCCACCAAATTTAGTGTGAAGACTCTTTTGATATCACAACGCTACAAGCGTATTTCAAAATTTCGTAAGCCTCCTTCCGCACCCACAAAGGGCGAAAATCTTCCACAGCTACAATTTTAGAGATAAGAGAAGAAAAGATAATTATAGAGAATAGCCATATCTATCAGATCATCGAGTAAGGATACGATTGGATCATTATTATAGCCAGAATAAAGAAATTAATTTGCAGTGGCTTAACCCACCCCGTCCAGCAGTTTTTTGTTTTGTTGCACATTCTCTCACCCACACTCTGCTTCGTGTAGTGTGTGGCTCTATGGGAGGGGGCGAGCTAAAACAGCGTGTTGGCGTAAGAAGTGATGTTGATTTAGATGACAGATGAAGAAAAAATGTAAAGTTTGAAAAAAACCGCTTAGGTACAGATGTAGTATTGAGTGCCGGGTATAAAAGTTGTGACGCGTAAGAAGTGTCTAACACGTCCCTTCTCGTTTTAATTAAAAATTGTATAACACTAATTATACAATTCGCCAATTGATATAACTGCAGTTAAAAAGCAGCAACGCCACTCAGTTTATGTAATTTTACCTTGACGCGTATGCGATATAATTTGTGAGCATTTGGTTTGCTGGGTAGTGTGATACATAAATATGTATTAAGGGATTTTTTCTAGGGATGGGGATGGGTGCTAGCCACTGCAAATGCATTTCGTCACTCTGGCTATAATAATTGTCCAATCTTATCCTTATTCGGTGATTTGATAGATTTGGATATTCTCTATCTTTCCCTTCTCTTATCTTCTCTTACCCCTCAAATTGTAGCTGTGGGAGATTTTCGCCCTTTGTTTGGGCAAAAGGAGGCGGGGCGAAGTTTTCAAATACGCTTGTAACATTGTGATATCACAAGAGCCTTCACACTGAAATTGGTGGCTATAGCTTCTGTAGTCATTGGATCCAGGCGCTCATCAAGACGAACGGACAGACTTACATAGATATATCGACACGGCTATTGATGCTGATCAAGAATATATATACTCTATGGGGTCTGTGCGTTGCATACATACACTAGCGGGTACAATAATCAGATAACAACATTATAGCCCCTGTATTCTCCCACCCATCCAAGGTACTTAAAAGGTCTAATTCCCATACAAAACCCCCCAAGAAACTGAACCTCTTCAGTCTTAACCTCAATCTATTGTCTTGCCCCCTGTGTTAACATCACGTTCATAGTGCTGTGGCTCAAGACAAGACAATAGTTCAAAGCGCCAGACAGGTCACAAAACAATTGGACTTGAACCTTCGTTGGAGGGGTTTGAGGTTTTCTTCTGATATGGGAACTGATTGGTAGCTGGCGACAAAGCCGTAGACGTTTTCGGTGAGACAAAAGGCAACATCTTCGAGTGCAATTGGCTAATTGATTTCGATTCGTGCCCTTGCATTGTACGGTTCACACGTACCACTAACGCAGCATTGTAAAGGGGGAGGGCGATAGATAAAAGCAAACGTTAGCAGGACCTTTGGCTTGTCATTATTTGTCCTTGTCCATCTGAGATTTGTCTTCATCTAAGAGATTTTTTCCCACTTTTTTTGTTCTTTTTCCCCTTGCTGATTTTATTCTATAGCTAATTCGGCAAAAGACGCAGACACGGCAGCAATCGTTAGATATCGGTTACATGTTCTCAAATATTGAGATACTTCAGCGTTACCAATCAAAAACTTTGCGACACATTGTCAATGCTCCGTTTTATGTATCTAATGCAAATATCCACGAAGATCTTAATATTCCAACCATTAAAGAAGAAATAAGAAAAAAATAGTAAGAAATACATCGAAAGATGTAGGGGCCGAAAGTAGGGAGATGGCATAGAGCATCACTGATAAACATAATTGCATGTTCAGTAGAGCTTAAAAGTGCATTCCGAAAGAGAACTCCGAAAGTGGATCGTAAGCGCAAGCTTTACGCTGAGCTTACGAAAGAGAGTCGCTGCAGTGTTAGAAAATGCAAGCGAGAGCGTGCGCTTATCTTAAAGAAGAGAATAAGGTATCGAGAGCATAGAATAAGCCCTTGAAGTTTGACCGAAATTCCACTCAATTCAGCGAAAGATCATACGATTGTCCCGTTAAAGCTCTTAAACGTCATCAGATCTTCGAGCTTTATGTTCGGTACAGCATAGCTTCACTGGGATGAGTTTTGCTGGAGTTATTAGCAAAAAATCGATCGACAAAACCAGACGCGATTGTGGTAAGTCTTATATATGTAGATATAACCTACACTAAACTTATATAATCCCTCGTGGTGAAGTTTTCTTGCAAGCCATAAATTCAAAGGAATCTGTGTTGATCTGTGCTAGTGCCTAGTGAAAACAATAATCAACCAAGGACAAAGGTCAGGAGCCCTATCTTTCTTAGCAGCCTAAGTGCGCATAAGTGCATATACGAGAGGCGTATCACCGAAGTCATCCCCAAATCCACAAGGGGTATAATTCGATTCCCCCCTCTTCTGCTCCGAAACGCCGAGCATCGAAAACCTCTGACTTGGGTCAACTTTAGTGAGGCGTAGCATCCCTTAGGAAGCTCAGCGCGTTAGGCGGCGCCTCGGAACCTTTCACCAGCGCCACTGAGACCACCAGTTTGTCGCGCACTTTAGTGCTTATGTAAGCGGCAGATCGACATCAAGCCGGATGTTCCACATTTTAGCCCAGTGTCCAGAGCTAGAACATTGGGCGTGATTTTGACGGACCTGACTACAGAGGAGCCACTGCCAACAGCAGGACAGATGTCCGGAGTTATGCTGTGTTAATTTGCACATTTTCTGGGACTAAGTTCAATATGCCATTTTAAGGCCAATTCTCTGGCGGTTACGTATATGTATATTCAAGCATCGGGAATCATGAGTGTTTGTAGAAAAGAGTGGGTTGAAATAATAAATTGAAATTATCAAATCGTACTTGCAGGTACATTCGTGTGCATATATTGTTAAAACTTTATATTTTTCCCCAGATACCAGCACCTACGTCATCCTTGAGCTCAACGATTACGAAAGGAGTAAGGGTATTAGAATACCAAAACCAAAAGAAAACTGTGAGTTTGTAAACTTAAAACCATATATGCACAGAGTATAAACGTAACCTGCGTGTTACTAAATATTTAATCATAACCGTAATGGGTTAATATATCTCGCCCCCTTTTATTCTATTACCTACCTATGATTTTTAGTCTTTATACGCGCAACAGACAAGCAAGGTCGAAGTGGTAGGATGAAAACTGCCTGATTGTTCTAGGGTCTATACGGTTCAATTTACCAGTATAGCATAAGTTGGGAGGGTAGAGAAGAGGGATTCTCGACGACACCGGAGTTTCCCGTGACTTGAAAAGAGTAGTTGATATCATCATCCCCCTTTTTCTCAACAACAAATAATTAATCCACTTCCCATACATTCAGTCCAGTTTAACCTGTGTTCTGCTTTTGATTTTTGATTATTTTTTAAATGTGCACCTAAAACATTATGCGAGTGTGTGTCAGTACATAATATAGGAGAGAGTAGAACGAACCCCGACAATCCGGCGAGCTTAGCTAGAGCATAGCTATAGGTGCACACGAAATCTCTTTGTACTTGCTTGGGTAAAAATACATCTATCCCACACCTGCACGCTACAAAGACTCCACAACTACGAAAATAATTTAGCCGTAAGTCTATTAGACAATAGCTTAACAGTAAGAAGACTGAAAAGATACCACATTCTCGATCTCCCCGGTAGATAAATCCAACAAACTGAAAATATTTTATATATAATAGCAGGGCTCATTGGAAAACTGCTATTTCTGTTAATTTAATATTAATTATACAATTTACTTATTGTTTAAACAAACAGATTGTAAATATAAAGAAAGAGAGAAAAAATAAATAAATGTTCGCCGGAAAGGTACTGTCCGATCCGGTCGAAAATAATTCGTCTTTGGGTTGGTTGCTCATTGATTAAAATGCTCTTGAGAACATTCCCTCGCCTGTCTGTCTGTGTCTCTGCTACGCTTCAAGTTCTGGTTTCCCTCTTAACATTTTGGCTGAAAGAATGTGTTGGTACAAGTTTTTCTTTTAACTGAAATTGTCATCAAGTGTCTGAGCAATTTCGATGTGTGCAAACAAGTGCATGTCCCGCCGAGAGTCTCTGTCGCATCCTCATCCAGATTCGCATTCTCAAACCCTCAATCTCCTCTCTTGGCCAACATGTTCACTGCACTGCTTTTAATTACAGTCGACAACAACTTGAATCGCATTGGCCAAGTCCAAGTCAAAGTCCAAGTCTAAGGCATCAGCGTCGTTCGGTTGCATCATCAGCAAAAGCACGAGACATAGAAATTGGAGTGGAAGAGAGAGAGGAGTGTCATTGAACATCTGTGTGTGGCTTCTAAGGCAGGCAGAGACATGGCAAAAAGGGGAATAACGCAGGAGTGCAGCGGTTTGTATGCACTTATATATTTTCTTAGGATATCATCTTGGAATATATTGTTTGATGTTCTCATATTTGTGATACAAATTCATTAAATGAGTGGAAACAAATGGGGGGTTGGCAGTGGATTCTTATATATGGGGAAGGGAAAGGTAAGGTTTCTTTGGTCTTTGATTAAATTTATTTTTGGTGCACTCCTAAGGCTGTATATGAAGGAACTTTAAGTTTCTTACTATTTTTACAGAGTTAATAAATGTTTTTGTATTTACTACATTAATTTTCCGTTTAAGAACACTAGAAATTATCAGCTTAACAGTGGGTATTTAAATTAAAAACTAGAAAATATTAGAAAATTATGTGTTAAATAAACATAATTTTCTTGTCATTTTAAAATAATATATTTATACCACTCTCCCAGAAAATCCCCTTCGTATAACCGTCCCTGCCTCTAGGAAAACAATGAAAAGTAAGTGCAGATACATACATATGTACATATGTATATGTATATATTTTCAATTTCATTTCCCCAGCAATCTTCGTCTTTCGTTGACTTTTGATGGGGCGTAAACCCAAAAGCAAAGAAGATTCTATTCTGGTTACTTTCGAAATTCTTCCCTTGTTCACCCATCCCCACAGCAACTTCCTTGTGCTATGCAGGTCCTTTCAAACATTTTGCACAGGGGATAGGGAGAAGCAAGCAACTGGGAGAACTGGAACTGGAGATGGCATTTCATTTCACACAATACCCACGAATTGATGCGAAAATTGATTCAGTTGCATGTGACATGTTTACCGAATTGTTTCATTGCTGACAGCAGCAACATACAACAGCAACAAAATTGAAAAGGATCTCTTTTAATTATTGTGAGAAATGCAATCCAACCGAAAAGTTGCCCCTTTTCTTCTCCGTGTTTTAAGGTATCGCGCGCAAATCTTTTACAAATCAAAAGCATACCAAATGTGGCATTGAGGCTAATTAGTGCGGTCACTCGGCTCGTTTCCTATTTCCTTTTTCCTTATTTTTAATTAGAGGAAAAAGAAAAGACAAAGATGCGTTAGGACAGTGGCAGGCGGGGCAGCCAGGCAGGCAGGCAGCAGGAGCGTGTGGACAAACAAAAGATATCAAGAATTTCATGGCTAAGACGGCAATTGAATCTGTGAAGAGGAAAGAGCAAAACGACGACAACGGTCATCACTAGAGGAAGTTCGGGTGCTACCACTACGCATTTGGCTAAAATAAGGGAAATGCCAACGAATTAGCAGACAGCCACAAGAAGGAGGAGGAGCAGGCAGCGGAGGCCCACCAGACGGAGTATGTATTTCCCATGTCCAAAGTCGTCTAACATTCTTCTTTTTCTTGGCCTTCCCTTTCCTCTTTTTTGTGTGTTTTTTTGTCGAGATTCGCTCTAAAATTCCACTGATAAGAGCTAAAGGCGACAGGCGGACCCACGGCGAACCGAGGAGCGGACTCCAGAAGGCGTCAGTGTCAGCGGCAGGCATAAGAAATGTGTCCCAAGCAATTAGTGTCCCCATTGGCCCCTTGGTGGTGACTGGAACACAGGGTGCAGCAGTAAGTAGAGGCATCTTCTAAATCTCTAAATTCGCTAAGATCAGTGGGAAGTAGGAGTAAATATGATTGAAAAGTGTTTGTGGGGTGCAGAATGGTATAGAATAGAAAGTGATTTTCGTGATTGAAATGTTGGAAAGCGCGAGGAATTGGAATTTAAAAGGTTTCATGAGCAGGGATTGGTGTAAATGGCTTGATTAAGCTAATGAAATATAACTTTTTTTTCTCATTTGCAATAGTTTCTTAACGGTGTTACGATGTTGATGTGCTGTTTACCAGTCGGTACCATTTTCAATGTTCCTTAATGGAATGGAAATTGTTATAACTCTTATAAATAATTTTTTCTTCAACGATTTCTCTTTAAATACCAACACTCATATTTCTTAAATAAATTCTGGCAAAGCAATGAAAACAAAACGCAACAAAAATCCATCAGCACAATCAATGGAAAAACTCAAAAGATTGATACACTTGAGCAGTCCAAAATCCACATTCATTGGAAGATCAATTTTAATTGCTGTTTTATATCATAACGATGGAGGGAACGGCTGAAAAGTGATTGCCAAATGCACGAATAAATTATAATTCATAAATTAAGAAAGAAAAATACTCATACGGCTCGCACTTTCGCTGGGGCATGTCTGCTTGCCCCCCAAAAATTATACAGACAGAGATCTCGACAGACACACACAAATATTGGCATAATTTATCCCTTCTCTGGGGTGCGAAGCGATGTTTGCCCCCAAATAAACAAATCATCAATCAAGAGATCCACCAGGCAGCGGTAGGAGCGAGTGCCTCTACTGCCAGTGGTGGCAACAAGCTGTGGAGATATCTTTTACAGTTTGGACCCACTAAAATAAGCACAAGATTTGAGAATACCACCAGCAGCTGCGATACTCAATTCCACTAAAGCAATCAACAGGAGCGCGCGCTCCTCGAAGAGTCCCAGCAATAACATTCCCTCTCGCATTCTTTCACTGTCTCTCTACAGCATCACATCTTAGGTGGTTATGTGTTGTGGGAGCTGCACCGACATCTCTCCATGGCGATCGACGATCCGCAATTCATGGATGCTCCACAGCAGTTGGCACTCTTGGCAGGAATCACCATTCTCCACTGATAGATGTTCGCGAGTGTGTAGGCCAAACGAAAAGATGCTCAACAGTGCGAGACACAACTTTAGGTAAGGGAAATATAATTGCTTTAGATTTAAGATATGCAGAATATCAAGAAAACGGAGGGGCGCTGCTGCACTACCGTATGAATGCTCATACATACAATGCATGATGAATTTTGACGTGAGTAGTCAGAGAAGTATTTAAATTATATTTCAAAAAAATGTATTGCATGTATTCAAAATATTGTAATATATTTTTAATTTAAGCGCAAATCTCTTTTAATAGGGTCAAACATTTTCTTTTCTGATCTTTATTTTATTTGCACATTAAAAATAACCCATTCCCATTCGAATTATTTCTCTTACTCTATTGTCCCGCACTGTTGAAATTTCCGATTAAACACATACACTCACACAAATCTATGGCCTGTGGGATTTTTTTTCCCCAGCCACAACAACAACATTTTCTCCTAGGAAAAACACCCAAGTTTCCACCGCAAGACATGCAATTATGAAAACTCAAATCAAGTGCCTCGACAGCCCTCACAGATGGATGGCGGAAAGGAGTGGAGTCGCGGACGGGACGGGACCTCAACCTCGTAACAGTCCTGACAGCCTTGGCGATCGAATCAATATCGCGCCTCGTATGCGTGTGGTCACAAACGGAACCGGCATCGGCATCGGCATCGGAATTGGAATTCTCTTTCTCCATCCACACAGACGCGAAATGATTTGTTTATTATTTCTCATAGAGTGTTTTTGTTTGGCATGCGATTACATTTCCTCTCGGGGTTTCTTGCTTTTTTTCTGCTGTTTCTTTTAACTCGGTGATGACAACGAGACAACGAGACGCAAGTTCATATCGACAGAGATGGAGCGAGAAGGAGAGGTCCGGTTAGATTCGATCCAGGAATGAACAATGTTCAACCTAAGTCCGAGGCTACACGTATCCACCAATAAGATGCGGCTACTGCGCTCTACTAGGAAACATCTCAAAATGTTG